TGAGGCATGGGATACGGTATAAGAGGAGGTTCAGAGCCATGTATATAGCCCTTGGCATCAGGGCAAGTAAATGGGCAGCTTGCTGCCTGGTTTAACATCTTCCAATGAGTATCATCAAAGGCATGGCAGGTGAGGTAAGCAGGCGGTTAGCCCAGAGACAAGTGGGCAGGCCAATGACTCAAACGGCCCTGGGACACCCACTTGTTACAGTATATCCATTTGGCCAATTAAGCATCTTTACTGGGCCATTTATGATTGGAGGAATATTAGGAATCATCCTTTCAGACATGAAGATTACTAGTCCAGTCTTCCAGTTCTAATCAAATACTATTGGGGTAAAAGATCATTTCCCTTTAAAAAGCAATTCCTTTGCCCAGGTCAGGCCTTGGTGCCTCAAGCACCTGATACGCATAGTTCTGCAAATGTAAATTTTACATATTTACTTTTTCCAACCATTTGGACTTTGATCGTTCAGGCATGCTTGGCCTTTATCCCAACTGAGATCTCATCCACCCTCTTTGGATCCATATCAAACTCATGCAAACAAACAAATAACAAAATTAAACATAGTTTGTCTTCAGCTGTTTATAGCCATGGAGCACTCTACCAGGAAACCTAATTTGGGGAACCATGCACGACATTCCATAAACACCTCAAAATATTGTAGGATCATGAGAGGAGGCACTACAGTGTGTATAGAGCATTAGTGTGTGACTCAAGAGACTGGTTTTAAGTCTAGCTTTGCTGCTGGCCTGCAGGGTGACCTTAGGCTGTCCCTCAGTTTGCCTTCATGTACCTCAGTTTCCTCAGCTGTAAAATGGGGTAATGATACTAACATGCTTTTTTAAAGCACATAAATAGGTGAATGTCATTCATGAATATTTACACAAGAAGAATCTTTGATCAAGAGTCCTGCTCACAGGGCAAACGACGTAATTATGGACCCCACAACTGTCTGTGGCAATGTGCCTTGACCTTTCATCTCCAAGGCTGACATGTCAATAGCCCTGGGGATTTCCAGTTGTCTAGAGTGCGTGCAGTGATTGTTACTCCTTCCGTATGAGCTGACTCATACTTGCCAACTCAATATACTTGGGCTTTGCATCCAGATGTGAAACTGTCTTTTATTAATTGCTTGTACCATAAAGTATATGCAATTGACAGTAGGGCTGTGCAAAGCTTCGGTCCCTGATTCAATTCGGCAGAGATTCAGCCTCGAATCCGGATTCGATCCGAATCCAAATCGAATCAGAGGACCCTTTAATCTCTCTGAATTGAATTGGAATGCTCTGAATCAATTCAGACAGATTTGGAAAGATTCGGAGATTCGGACATAGAGACAGCTTTAAATGTTTTTTCTACATACCTCTAGGTAGCAGGCGGCTCGTGAGTGCTGCAATGCTGGGGCGCATGGAGCGTCCCATAGGAGCACTGGGGCTGCCCAGCGTGCTCAGCAACAGACCCAGAAGTGGATCAGAAGCACTTTTGTGTCTGTCTGCCGGGGAGCATGTAGGGCCCCCCTCCCCACGCCTCCCTCACTCGTCAACTGGTGCCTCCTGGGTCTGGGGGGGGTCCCACCGTGGCCGATCGCTGAGCCAGAGAGGCACAGGGAGCTAAAAAGGCAGACAGGCTCATCGTGGGATATTCAGAGTGCATTCATTTTACGTGCCTCGAATACTATTAAAAATCCAGTTCCAAGTACCTCAACACAACTGGACAACCAGCACTCCCACGCAGGGAGTTGTTGTCTGAGACTAGGAAAATGCATTTTCTTATTAAGTAGTAACTCTAGTTATTCATTTTTTCAAAAAGGCAACATGAATCATTTCCCTCCGTTCACGGATGTCTCTGTCTCCCGCTCCTGTCCACGACTAGACACAGCCCCTCCTCATTCAGAGTTGTAAAGTAAACACATTCCTCTGGGCCAGTTTTAACATCCTTCTTTCCTGTTCCTCTTTTGTGACTGCTTTTGTTCAGAATTTGTGCCCAAGTTCTTCATTTTTTATTTCTTCATTATTTCCTTGCTTTCTGTAAGCTGTCAGGATCCACTCACATCCCTTTGGCATTCATCACCCTCCCACCATGCATAGGAGTGTATCTGCAATGACAGCAGATAAAATTACTGTATCACTTACCTGGTAAAATACAGCTTTAATGGCTAGGTCAGAGCATTGTGTGATTGATACAGGTGTCAGCAGTGCAGTGGGAGCGCGCTTTCCAAATGCTCATCTTATTCTACACAAAGGGCATCAATAGTGTAAAGTCGCGAACTAGATTGAACATTTTACAGCTAAAATGTCTCCGTGGCCTATCTATAGCCTATTTTCAGTCATGTACCTACACAGTCCACAAGATGGCAGTGTAAGACAACCGTTTCGATCATTTAGTCCAGTGGTTCTCACCCTTATTAACCTCAAGGCACCCCTTGGAAAATTCACAAGCATTTTGGACTGCAAAAAAATAATAGAGTAATTGTTCTGTAGCAAAGAACTCAGAAAGACCGCAGCACATCAGGTTTTTAATACTGTGGATTCCTATTTGAAATCTCTTGGTTTATCTTGTGAATCATGTTTGCAAACCTCACAGCACTAATAGTGCGTGACACCCCGTGGCACCCTGGAAAGGATTTCAAGGTGCCCCCATGGTTGAGGATCACTGGTTTAGTCTGACATCTAGAGTAATCCAGGCTAGAGAACTTTACCCAGTGACTCTTGTGGAGGAGGGACTGATTTTCTCGCACTACCTAAGTTACCCCATAGAGCTAAAAGCAATCAGGGATCATGCTAAAGGGGATATCTAATAAAAATATCTAATAAAAATCTTTTATTAGACCAAGAAGATTTTTGCAAAAAAAATTCTTTAATAGCAAGCTTTTGAGCACAAATACTCTTCATTAGGCATTGGAGAAAAGACTGTAAAAGTCCCATGGGGTAGAAATGAAAGTTTCACAGAGGAGTCAATAGATGGAAGACTCCTCTGGGCAGGCAGTTCTTAGCCAGTAAGGTGTCTCTCAGCTCTCTTGTGAGGCTCAGTGATGATGCAAATTACCTTGAACAGAGGCAGGAGCAGTATCTCAGGTATCAGGTGGTCAAAACTGCTTCCTCCTTGGGAAAATATGAAGATTTCATTTAAAAAATCAGCTAAAATTTGATATCTTCCAGGTGCCAGGTATCCAGATTGTAGCCGTATTGGTCTAGTCCTGCTTGCTTTTTCCTCTAGACCAATACAGCTACAACCTGGATACCTGATCCATAGAGATCAGACAAGGTTCTTTGGGTAAATCTGACATCTTTTCTTAGACCAACTCAAATAATTGGAAAAATTCTTTTTAGCAAGCTTTTGGGTATAAATACCCTTCGTCAGGCTGAGGAAGCATCTGCAGTTGGTGTGCGCTCTTCCTGGATGAAATGAATAGTAAAGAACCCAGAGGCTGGCATGCATGCAAGAAAGGCAGTCAGTGAAGATGTAAATTGAAGAGTCAGTGGGTGAGAGAGAGGCTGGAGGAGGGGGGGGGGGGGGGGGGGGGCGGGGAAGGGGAATTAATGTAGCTGGTAAATAGTGGAGGGGTACCTGGGGGGTCAGGTGTCAGGCAGGTTTATAACGTGTCATAAATCCAATGTCTATATTTAGTCCATGATTTTTTGTATCCAGGAGGTTGATGAAATTAAGTTTGTGGGCTCATCTGTGAAAAGTGTTTTGTAAGTTCCCCTTGAGGATTAGAACTGAGAGACTGGAGAGACAGTGGTTTTCTTGTGAGAAATGTGCCCCCACCGGTAATTGGGTGTTCTTGTCTTTAATAGATTTCCTCTGTGCGTTCATTCTGGTGCACAGTTGTAATTTGGTCTCTCCTACGTATTTTCAATCAGGGCATTTGGTGCATTGGATGAGGTATATTACATTTCTGGAGGTGCAGCTGTAAAATGCATGAATGGTGATGGTTCTGTTGTGGGGTGTAGTAATTGTGGGGGTGGGGAGATGTGTTGGCAGGTTTTATATTTCTTGTCATGGCATGGTCTGGATCCATTCGGCGTGTTTTGGGCTGTAGAAAGTTTGCTTCTGGTGATGAGGTTAGCGAGGTTTGGTGCTTGTTTGAAGGCTAGGATGGGTGGTTCAAAGAAGATCTCTTTAAGAATTGGGTCTTCTTCTAGTATGGGTTGCAATTGTTTGAGGATTTTCCATACGGGTTCAAGTGGGGGGGGGTGGTGATATGTCATAACCAGTGGTGCACCCATACAGCCAAGTAATTTTGAACCAGATCATCTTTTTGGAAAGTGATGCCTGGTCTCAGTGTATAGAATTCTCCTTATGCCTCTGTTCCAATGGCTAAACACTCTTACTGTTAAATATATTTCTTCTTACCAGTTTGAATTCATCTAGTTTAAACTTCCAGCCATTGGCTTTTGTTCTGTCTTTGCTAAATGAAAAAACCTCTTACTGTCTGGAATCTTCTCCCCAAAGATGTACACATAGACTGCAATCAAGCAACCTTTTCATCTTCATTTTGATAAACTGAAAAGACTGAGTTCCTTATGCGTCTTCCTCTAAGTCAGATTTTGCAGATCTCAAATCAACCACAGCCTTCTCCAATTTCTCAACATCCTTTTAATGTGTGTACACAAAGAATGGATATAATACTCAGATATTGGTGCACTAAATGCTGTGGATAGCAGTTGTTCCTCCTACTTGGTACTCCCCAGTTTATACACCAGACATCAAGTTAGCCCTCTGAGGCACAGAATAGTGCCAGGAGCTCATGTTCAGTGTGTTACTTCCGATTACCATAAATCCTATGTACAGTCTTTGCTTTCCAGGATCCAGTGCTCCATTCTGTAAATATTTTCTTTTTTCCTTGAATGTGTGCATGTATGTATTTGTATTTATTAAATGCATTGCATCTTATATTTGATTTTATTAAATGCATGTTTTCTTTTTCCCTTAGATAACTTCTATTTGCTTAAAGTAATTCGTTTGGTTTTGTTTGGTTTTCCAAAGGAATAAATTTGGCTTTGTCTAAGGACTTTTCTTAATGGAAATAAAAGTAGGTAAGCATTGTAAACAATGTAAAAGCCTTGGGAAAATACAAGTTAACTAAATGATTACTAAAAGCCTTTAAAGCTTGATGTGCTGATCTTAACTTGGACTCTGCTGGTAATTTTTTTTACAGTATCAGTGGATTATTCATAAATTGAAGGCCAGTAGGTCCTTTAAAGAAAGGATGCTAGGCAAATCATTTACAGAGAAATATTGTTTTTACAGATTCAAAGACCAGATCATACAAAAGTTTTTGCACATATTTAACTTAATGCACTCTGAATAGTTCCACTGAAATGGAGACAAGGTTCTTTTGATAAATCTGATCTCTTTTATTAAACCAACTCAAATAAAAGAGAGCAGATTTACCCAAAGAACCTTGAATGCCTATGTCCTTAGACCAACATGGCTACAACCTACACCCCTGAAAAGGAGTGCACTATTAACAGAGCATAAAGTTAAGTAAGTGTGTAAGTCATTGCAGGACCATAGAATCATAGAAAATTAGGATTGAAGGGATCTCTGGAAGTCATCTCATCCAAGCTCCCAACACCCTGCTCAAAGCAGGACCCTCCCCAACTAGCTCATCCCAGCCAAAGCTTTGTGTAGCTGGGTCTTGAAAACCTCCAAGTATGGAAAGTCCACCACCTCTCTGGGTAACCTGTTCCAGTGTTTTATTACCCTCCTAGGATAGGGACAGACATTACACATAAACCAGTTTAAGTGATCAGAAACTGGTTTAAACCTGTAACAGAAGAGATGCTCAGTGCCATTGGCAACGCGTAGGGGGTGCATGTGGGTGCACGTGCACCCCCTGAGATTGGTGATGCACGCCCTGAGAGAAGCGCTGCCGATGCCTGCAGGCGGTCACCACTCGCCACCTCCCCCTTGCCTCCAACACCTCCGGCGGCATCTGCGGGTGGTCACCGATTGCCGGTCGGCGCTTTCCCCCCACCTCGCCGCCAACACTGCCATGGTCGCCTGTGGGAGCTCTCTGCTAACCACCTCCATGTCTCTATTGTCTCTGCCTGTGGGCAGTCACCATGCCCCCCCAGCCTCTGGGGGCACGCATCATTCATGCGCAGTGCACATAAACCGGTTTGAAAATGACTGAAACCAGTTTGAGATAAACCTAGTTGAATGTAGTATCATATTTAACTGATTTGGGTCGTGCCAGTCTAAGCAATGTCTGTCCCAGACTCCTTGCTGGTTTAATTTAAATCAGACTCCCCCAGCATCCCAGCATGCTCTCTGGGCTGGGCTGGGCGGGGCTCTCTGCTCCACAGCAGGACTGGCCCCTCCCCTTTGCTTCCTGGCTGCAACTCCAGCAGAGACTTGCAGGCACAGCAGTGTCTGCCTGGCTTCCTCCTGCTGTCCCCCCCCCCTCACCACTCCCTGCTAAGCAGGGATCCCTTGTCTCCTCTGCCTTATAGAGACATCTCAGCATTAGCTAGCAGACCACATGCTGGTACAGTCCATGCTGTGGCAGACAGCAGTGTCGACTTAGGGCTTTTTGGAGCTAATCAACAGCTTAGCTGGTAATGTCTTTCCACTCCTCCTTTGTTTAAGAAGAGCTTGAACTAATGAGCGGATGTTTGTTTTCTGATGGGGTGATAAATGCTGATAACAGAGCTGATAAATGCTGTGTTATCAAGGAAAGGGGGGAACCCCTCCCTAATCCTGCTGGGGCCTGGCCACATCCCCCTCAGCTCAGCCCTGTGGAAGGGAAAGGAAGGCTGCTTTAGCACCCACCGGCTTCTAGCCTGAGCCACTGCAGGCATGTCCCTGTATGTCTGCGATTTCTGTACAGTTACAAATTTATTTAGCCTAGCCAGGTTAGACTAACCTGCAAAGATTTAATCCATTCAGGCTCAGGCTTTTTGGATGTCTGTCCCTAGCCCTAGTGAGAAAATCTTTCTAATATTTAATCTAAACTTCCCTTGCTGCAGCTTGAGACCGTTGCTCCTTTTCTGTCATCTGCCACCACTGAGAACAGTCCAGCTTCATCCTCTTTCAAACCTCCCTTTACATAGTTAAAGGCTGCTATCAAAACCCCATCTCAGTCATCTCTTCTCCAAACTAAATAAGCCCAGTTCCCTCAGCCTCTCTTCATAAGTCATGTCCCCCAGCCCCTGAACCATTTTTGGTGCCCTCCACTGAAATCTCTCCAATTTGTCCACATCCTTTCTGTAGTGGGGGGCCCAAAACTAAACACAGTACTCCAGATGTGGCCTCACCAGTGCAGAATAGAGGGGAATAATCACTTCCCTTGACCTGCTGGCAACATACCTAACAAGGCAGCCCAGTATGCCATTAGCCTTCTTGGCATAAAGGGCACAGTGTTAGCTCATATTCAGCTTATTGTCCACTGTACCCCCCAGGTCCTTTTCTGCAGAGCTCCTCCCCAGCCAGTCAGCCCGCAGCCTGTACTGGTGCATGGGATTGTTTCATCCTAAGTGCAGGACTTTGCACTTGTCCTTGTTGAACCTCATGAGATTTCTTTTGGCCCAATCCTCCAATTTTCCTAGGCCACTCTGAATGCTAGCCCTACCCTCCAGCATATCTACTACTCTGCCCAGCTTGGTGTCATCTGCAGACTTGCTGAGGGTGCACTCTATGTCATCTTCCCTAGTCATTGATGACAACATTGAAAAAACTGCCCCCAGGACTGACCCCTGGGTGACTCCACAGCTGCCAACTAAATATTGAGCCGTTGATTACTACCCTGTGAGCCTGATGCTTCAGCCAGTTTTCTGTCTACCTTACAGTCCATTCATCCAGCTCACACTTCCTTAGTTTGCCTGCGAGCATGATGTGAGAGACAGCATCAAAAGCCTTGCTAAAATCAAGGTATATCACGTCCACTAGTCTTCCCGCGTCCACAGAGCCAGTCATCTTATCATAGAAGGAGATCAGGTTGGTCAGGCATGACTTGCCCTTGGTGAATCCATGCTGACTGTGCCTGGCTTCTCTTCCCCTTGCTCCCAGGAAACTGCCTGTAAACTGCTTAGCCTGTTTGCAGCCCCTGTTTGCTGGCTCTTTGGTAGCTGGCTAGACCAGGGCTATAGTTTTAAAGGGCAGAAAGGGTACTGTAACATAGTGTTTCCTCAACCTTGCGGGTTTACGTCCCACCTTAGGAAAGTCAGGCTTTCTCGTACCCCCCGTTCTTCAGCCTCTGCTTTCCTCACTGCTGACTCCCTCCCCACCATTGCCATGGAGGGGAATTAGCAGTCACTGAAGAAGGGGGCATGTGAGAATTGGTGGCGAGGGAAGTGCTGCCATGATTCGCACATCCCCTGGTAGGAAACTTTCAAGCCCTCCCAGGATGGTGGATCATCCCACAGTTTGAGAAACTGCTGTAGCCATCCAGCCTTACCTCCTGAGACCATCACCCCGTGTCTCTTCCATGGAACAATAAATGGTGGTTGAGCAAGAACATGCCTTTGCATTGGGTTTTCAATGTATTTAGTTTGTGATTGAAAGGCTATAGCCATATGTTTGTTACATATGCGGAGGGATGACTCATTCCCTCCGCATAAATCAGCTGTGGCCTGTGGACTGTTAGTCATCACATAATTCATAGGTTGTTGGTAATATAGTTTTAGTCACATAGCATAATGAGGGTCAACTTAAAGGCAGAAGCTATAGAACAAAAACAAGTCCCATGAGATGTTCTCTATCACTGATTCACACCAAGAATTGGACTTTCTTTGTTCTTTAGAAGGTGATTAATTATATTGAATTAACTCCCCAGTATGATTCTTGCATCTGATGGATGCTGCCAGTCTGATCAGGATGGATAAAAGCTGCTAGCCTGTTTGCATATTTTTATACTAAAACATTACATATTCTAGAGGGCACTGTCCCCACTTAAAAATAGTACTGCTTAATGAGAAGTATGGGATTTGACAGCTTGAACATCTTTAGGAGAAAAAAAGATGATGGGCAAAATGTTCAAAATTTAACTGGAAGTTAAGAACCCAGGTGTTTATGTAGCTATGTATCTTTATGAGGCCAAAGACCAAATGCTTAGGCGCCTAAGGCCACTGAAAAGTGTGCAGTTAAAGGCACAATGGGATCTGATCCGCAATCCCAACAGCTGTGCTTCCTGTGAAGCCACACGTGCATGCCAGGAGGCACAACGTTGGGATCGCAGATCAGACCCTAATCATGTCCTATTTGCCAGTGCAGGGGGAGCCCAGGATCAGCTCACACAACTGATCACATCAGACAAAGGATTAATCTAGTGCCCATGGGGGAACCTACACATGTGCCCAATGCCTGCTAATTAGCATGTGCCAGAGCAGACTTCATCAGTCGTGTCTGCTGGAGCGTGCTAATTAGCACACTTCAACAGCCTCAGCGTCATGTGTATTCAGTGTCCCCGCACATCAGAATGGTGGTGGGGACGCTTTAACTAAAGCTCGTCAGACGTTATTCAAGTAATGTTTCTAATCTGCTTTTGTTATAGGGCCTTCTGTGACTGTGTGAATAGCGCAGCATCCAGGTAAATATATGTTAGCGTGTTTCTCAGATACTGAAAAAGGCAATTGTGTAGCGTCAGTACATTGAAAAATTCCTGTAGATTGACTCCTGGCTCCATTTTCTTAAAAATGGGACCTACAGCAGACATGCAGAAAGCCTCCCTTTTGGGGAGCTGGGTTTTTTGTTGTTATATCTCTGAGCCAGGAACAGTCTGGTATGAGTTTTGGAAAGAAGTGACCTGAAGGAGGGTGCTTTTGCTCAAAAGCTTACCACATTTCTCTCTCAACTGTATATAATTAGTTCAATAAAAGAGATCGCAAAAAAATCCTTGCCTCCCTTAGGTTTCCAAAGTCTTCAGGCTTCTCTTTAGCATATGTTGGTATACCACTCTCTGCCTCTCATAGTTTTTCACTGGAAAGTATGGCATTGACGTTTGACCCTAAATGGCTTCTGTTTCAGCTGTTTGACAGATGCGTCACTACCAGGGTTTTGTGTGATGTCTTTTACTGGCTCAACTGTATAGTTGGGAGCGAAGTTAGACAAACTTTCAGACTCTTAGACACTTTAGTCAGGCCCTTAGTCAGACACAGGCTAAACTAAATAATAGAAAATAGGTCTGTTTTTAACTCCATGGAAAAGCAAACAGTCTGCTTCAAGGAATGGAGGGGGGCTGTAAACTAAGAGTGATTATCAGGAGTGGTTATAAGACAGAAGTATTGCAGTAGAGTAGGCAGGCTGGCTTAGTCGAAGAGCAAGACCGTTCTAGGAGGAGGTTGTTATTATCTGTGGAGTGCAGAGTGATTAACACAAGGAGTTGCTAGATTGTAATGAGTCATAAGGCCACTGTCTGTGTTAAGTCCAGATTTATTATGAAGCTTATGACTTTCTGTTCTCACGCCTGTCTTCTGAAGGTGTTCTGTGGATTTCTGCTGGGCATGAGGATTGAGGGGGCAGAAAGGGAGTGGCTGTTCTGTGAAACGTGTGCTCCCACTGGCATTCGGGAGTTTCTGTCCTTTATATATTTTTTCTGTGCAAGTTCATTCTGGTGCACAGTTTCTGTCTAGTTTCACCCATGTCATTTCCACGAGGGTATTTAGCTTATTGGAAGAGATACATATTACCTTCTGGGATACACATGTGTGATCTGGTTTCATGATGGAAGACATTGATTGTGGTGGCAGTGAAGACATGTTGACAGGTTTTGCATTTTTTGTTAAGGTAGGGTTGTGCCCCCTTGGTGTCTGTTGATCAGAAAGGAGTTTGCTTTTAATGATTAGTTGGGCCACGTTCGGTAGTTGTGTGAAGGCCATGAGTGTGTGCCTCTGAGTCAGAGGAGAGGGAAGGCAGGGCTGCGGAGCATTTCTCCCAATGTCTGATCTTTTTCAATTATTGTCTGCAGTTGTTTGATGGTCCTTCTTGTAGGTTCTGGTGTTGGATAGTACGTAATGTAGTATGTAATGACCGGGACAGGTGTAGTCAGTGAAATGGTTTCTTTTGTATTGTAGTAGTAGATTATTGTGGG